GATGGGTGACCCTAGGGGACATTATGTTGAGTGAAATATCTCAATCACAAAAGGACAAAGATTGCATAAGGTCATTGTTATAAAACAGGACTAACATCAGGTTTGGGTGAAAACTATGAAAAGATGGGATAAATAATATACTCTACATTGAAACAGATGAGGGAGAGAACTGTTTCAAAGGCATATATGATTAGTTATTATTTACATGGCATGAGTCCAGAATATGAGCTGCATAGTAAAGTGGACTGGGTGGGGAGGGTGTTCTTTAAAACAATAAAATAATTTTTTTTCTTCTCAAAGAGAAAAATGAACTGGGGAGGGGGGAAGGAGTAGACAGGGAGGAAAATGTGCAACAATGAATGAATGGAAATTCAAGTCCTCTATAATCTTTCATTAAAATCTCAATAAAAAATTCTAATTTAAAAAATTCTGTATGATTTCCAGTTTATTTCTGTCTCTGAGGCCATTTGTTCCAACTACCAGTCCTCCTTCTTTATTTCCAAGTTTTGCATTCCTGTTACTTATTATTATGCAACTTGATTCTCCTTCTTCTCCTCCTCCTCCTCCTCCTCCTTCTTCTTCTTCTTCCTCTTCCTCTTCCTCTTCTTCTTCTTCCTCTTCCTCCTCCTCTTCCTCCTCTTCTTCTCCTCCTCCTCCTCCTTCTTCTTATGCAACTTTATTGCATGTTTGATCCATTTCAGACGACAAAAGTTGGTAGAAATTATCAATGTCTTCATCTTTGGCTTTAGAGATCAGGGTATAAATTTGAATAACAGTAATAAAAGGTCTTCTTTGTATGCATTTGGATAGTATCCAATCACTCACAGTAATGTTCTTCAGGATTGACCTAGAAAAAAATCTTTTTGACAATAAATATACCATTACTCTCCAAATTTTCAGTCCTGGAATAGTAGCTCATATAACTGTATGATTTAAAATGGCCAGTAACAGTTATCTCAACCTGATAATGCCTACAATGTTGTTATTTATGCATTCTATTTTCTTCTTGACAACTTCCAAGCTTTCTAGATTCATACTTGATACATTCCATGTTTCAATTAGTAATGGCTGTGTCTGTTGTTTCTCCTCATTCTAGAACTTGCCATATCAGCAAATGAAGGCCCTTCATTGTGTTAAAAGTTTTATTCCATTAGTGTCATTACAGTAGATGCCACTTTAAAAAGGCAGCTCTTTCCCAGTAGCATTTTGAATGTCTCCCATATGGGCTCTGTGTGTGTGTATGTGTCTCATCTTCTGGCAGTATATCCAACAATGTTCTGAAATTCACAGACTCTTTGAAGCCCTTTTATTTCAGATGTTAATCACCAGTCTTGCTTCTTACTCTGTTTTATTTTGCAAACTATGCTGAAACCTGTCTCCCATGGGTGGCCTCACTGTTATTTAAAATATAGGCAACATAGCTCCAGCATCACAGAAACACACAAGGCACTACAGCACGGCAAACTAATAGATAAGTGGTAGACTTTTTATCATTATTTTCCCAAACAATATTTGCTATTTAAAATTACTAATTTTGCTCAGTATGATGTATTCCAGGTACATCCATGTTATGAGGTGTTTTGCATAGCATGTCATTGTGTGTATTGTTTGAGTATTTTTAAAATATTATTTTAGGGAAACTCTACAAGGAAATTGGTTTTTAATTCATCATTCATTCATATAAATTTTCCTCCCTTCCCTCCATTCAATTTGTAATGCATGTCCTGTTCCAGTTGTATTTATTTTTATCTATTTCATCTTTTGATGGTCATGTGATTATATTCATGTTTCTGCCATTGTGAATAATGTTGTTATTAACATGGATGTGCATATATCTGTTCATTTCATGGCCCTTATTTTTCAGGATATATGCCTACTAGTGATATTGCTGATTCATATAATATTACTACTTTCAACTTTTAAAAGAAATTGTCTTACTGTTTTCACAGTTGGTTGCCCCATTTTACATTCTCACTAGCAGTATATGAGGTTCTTCCAGTTTCCACATAACCTAACCAGAATTTATTGTTTTCTGGTTTGGGGTTTTTATTTTATTTTTTTTTATTTTATTGTTTTTGTGTGCGTGTACCGTCAAATCAGATCTGACTGGTACAGGAGGAGATTGCCTCTCCTTCCCCGGCAGAGCATCTGGTGGATTTGAACCGTGAACCTCTGGTGGTTTGGGGTTTTTAAACACTTTTCATTAATGCAGAGGTGAGATTGTATCTTGTCTTAATTTACATTTCATGAATGGTTAATGATGGTAAGCATTTTTCCATGTTGTTGGCTACTGAAGTATTTTTTCATGCCCTCGGCTCAATTTTAAATGGATTATTGCCCTTTTGTTATTGTGGTGTTTGAGTTTTCTAGAGATTGGCCCTTTGTCTAGTATGTCATTTCCAAAATGTTTCACAGTCTCTAAGTTTCCTTTTTTATTCTTTTGGTAAAGTCCTATGATACACAAAAATGCTTTAGATGGAGTCAGTAATCCAGCTAGTCTTATGCTAGTCATCCATTTTTAGTTAGGCTTAATAGACTGTTTATACCCTGTATGTAGATCCCCAAGTTTATCTCTATTTTTCCTTTTATGTTTTTTTTTAGTTTACATTTTATATTTAACTATTTTATTCATCTTGGGTTAGTTAGATATGTGGTGTGAGATAGGGGTTCTGCTTCATTCTGTAAATGGATATTCTGTTTTCCCAGCACCATATACTAAAGATATCACCTCTTTTTCATTTAATGATCCTTTGTTGAAGATTAGCTGTCCATCACTAAATGAAAACACTTCTGGTTCTCACTTCTTTTTCCACTGGCAGATGTTCCTATTTTTTGCACCAGTACCAGGCTGTTTTGATGACCGTCACTACTGTGGTTTTAAGAACATGGAATGTAAAGCCTCTTAAGTTCTTTTTTATTTTCCCTCTTAAGTTCTTGTTTTTCATCAGCACTTTATTTGTGGTCACTTTCCATATAAAGTTTATTATCAATTTTGCAAATCTTTAAAGTATGATGATGAAATCTGGTTAGGGATAACATATTTGTAGATCAGTTTGGGTTTTCTCAAATTGTCTCAATGTTATGTTTTCCTATCTACGAGCATCTTTCATCTAGGTAAGTCTCTTTTGGTTTCCTATTGCAAAACATTGTATTTTTCTTTGTATATGTCATTTGTATTTCTGGTTAGATTTATTTCCAAGAAATTAATCTTTTTGGCAATTATTGTGCAAAAGACTTTTTTACTTTTCTCCTTTTCCTTTAACTACCACTTCATTCTCTAAAAAGTTATTGATGCACAGTCCAAATAATAATTATAATGCTGTTGTTATGTACCATCAAGTCAGAACTGACCCATAGCTGACCCTCAGGTGGGTTTTCAGAGGCTGTTAATCACACGGATGAGACTGCCTATGATACAGAGTTCAAAGAACAATTAGAATGCTGTCATTATGTACCAGTCAGAACTGACCCACAGCTGACCCTCCAAGTGGATTTTCAGAGGCAGTTAATCATAAGAAGGAGATTGCCCATCCTCTTCTGCAGAGTAGCTGTTCCTTTGGGGCTGCAGCACAGATTCTTACCTCTAGGCCACCAGACCTCCCTAGTACCAGTATATGACAACTTTTTTTTTTCTTTTATGAGGAGTGTATGACAATTTTAAATATTTAAGGACCCCTAGTGGTGCAGTGACCTAATGTTCTACATGTTGCCCTGTTAATTGAAATGTAAGTAGTTTAAATGCACCAGGTGCTTCTTGGGAGAAAGTTGTCTTTATTGCTAGGTGCCGTTAGAAACCAGTGGAGGGTTACAGCGAGTCTGAATTAACTTGACCACAATATGTTAGGGTTAGAATATTGTGACTAAAATACCAGAACATTTTACAAAATAAGCTACTATAAAATAGCTCTGATATTTGAAGGCTCAAAAAGTAAACTTGCATGGTTTTAGTTTTGTAGTATATTCATAGATGTTAAGCTCAGTTTTAAAAAATGCTTCTGCTTTGCTAGCTAATTACAATAATATTTTCATTAAAAAGGAAAACATGGAACATTTCATTTCACTGAAATGCTGCAGAAAAATTTTAAAGACCGTCCTTGGGGAAGGACATCATGCTTGGAAGAGTAAAGGGACAGAACAATAGAGAAAGACCCTGGATGAAAAGGATTGACTCAATGACTGAAGTAATGGGGGTAGGTGTGTCAGAAACAATGATGCTGGCTCAAGACAGAGGAGGGTTCAGAGCTGTTGTACTTAGGGTCGTTATCAGTCGCAAGAGACTCAACAGCACATAACACCTCTGACAATGTAGTGTAGTGTCATCTAGTGTAGTTCGAATCCAGAATTTCCCTAGTGATGCTACCGTCCCTAAGTGACATTTCTCAGCAGACTAATTTGAAGGAACGAACCTTGTTTGTATTCATAACAAAAGCACACTCAAAACCAAATATGAGCACAATAAAACAAACTCTATTCTCTCTTAATTCTTTACGTACTTAACTCTTTCTATTCTCCCTTAATTCCTTCTGTACTATCTTATTCCTAAATTCTAGGTCTACATTTTATTTTTAAGTCTATATATTTTAAAATAATATTTAATTTCTAATTCTAACAACAGTTTTCTCCTTTCCAACTAGACGTTGTTTATGCAGCAAATTTAATCACAAGAGAATTTTACGCCTATAGCAAGAATGGCACGAACCATCCTATCACGAAGAGTGACCATCCCTTCATGCCCACACTTTTTGAAGGAGAAGAGCAGTAAAGCCTCCTGGACTCATTCGGCGGGACGCTGAGGGACGTCCCCAGGTTAGCGGGGTGACGACAGCCAGCCCCCTTCCAAGGAGATGCTGTTCTCCAGGGGGCTGGCTCTGCTCTTGGAAGCTCCCTCCCTCGGGCTTTCCTCTGTCCCCACTCGGGTCCTAATTTCCGCCAGGTGGCGTCCAGGCCTCGCCCCCGCCCCTGAAATTCTCCCCGGTTCCCGGGGTAGAATGTGTCCTTACCTGCGCTGCCTCATCTTCCGCCACCACGCTGATCACTGGGATTTGGCGAGGGCTGCAGGACTTGTTACTGGTCTGAAGGGTTGCTGGACCACTGGGCTCTTGGGTTTCAGTTGCCGCTGCTTCGACCTCGGCAGTCAACATGGTTGGAGGAGGGAAAGCAGAACTTCCTGTCCTACAAAATATTTAGAGCCAAGGCCCCCCCCCCCCAAAAGGCCACAGCGCAGGAAAGGCAGCCTGAGAGATGCTAGAGATGGGAAGGGTCTCTGGAACCCAGCATCTTTCAGCTGCAGCGCGCAAGCCCGCCAGTTGCTAACACAAGCTGACACGTTGCTAGGGGGCGTGGCCAGAGGCGGGGCGGTCTGCTTCCTAAGGAAGCCCAGAGGCTCAAACTACACAAAAACGTACTCGGTACTTCTGCTTGGAGAAGGATGGCTTTGCGTGTGTGTCAGAGGCTGCGTGGGGAGAAGAAAATGAGGAGTTGATACCCTAGCCTCGCTACATCTCAGACTTGATAGTTAGCACTGGGTTGTTGTTGTTTGTTGTTTAATGCCGTCGAGTCGTAGACGACTCATAGCGAGCCTATGAATGAACAGCCTGAGCACTGTTCGTACAGAATTTCCAGAGGCAAGCCATTTTGGAAGTGGATGCCGCTCCTACTTCCAGGCTTGATTTAGTCGGGAAGCTCCAGCCAACACTGTCCACCATGGGTGCCCATTACCACGATTGGCACATCACTGTCACAGGCTTCAGCATCACAGCAACCACGAGTGCTCAAAAAAGGCTTGGGTGAGTGGAGTGATCGATGATGAATGATGCAATGGATGGATACTGTTGAAAGTCGAGTTTACCTCACCCCAGAAAAGTAGCTCATTTAATTTGAATTCTCCGCACTCTTCTTCAGAGAACTCTGGTGCCTTAGTGGTAAGGAGTTGCGTTGCTGACTCAAAGGCATATGGTTCAAATCCACCAGCTACTTCTTGTGAGAACCTTGGGCAGTTTCCACCAGTGTGAGAAACTGTCTCTAAAGAGACTGTTCAGATTCAACTATATCTACCAACTTCTTCTGAAAACCCAGCAGCAGAACAAGAGGTTGGTATTGAAAACTATTAGCTGCTGTAGAGGAAATGATCTTTAATTAGTAAAGATTCACAGCCTTGAAACCCTGTGAGACAGTTGGTTCTACCACGACTTGCAGGCTTGGCTCAAAGGCACTGGTTGTTGTTGTTATGTGCCATCGATTCACCTGTGACTCATGTTGTTGTTGTTAGGTGCCCTCGGGTCATAGACAACTCATAGAGACCCTATGAACGAAAGGCCCCGTGAGTACTATTGATAGAGTTTCTGGAGACAAGCCATTTTGGAAGTGGATGCCATTCCTGCTTCCAGGCTTATTTTAATCCAGAAGCTCCAGCAAACACTGTAAGCCATGGGTAACCATTATCGCATTTGTCACATCAGTGTCACAGTGTTCAGCATCACAGCAACCACGAGTTACCTCTGTACAGCAATGCACAGACCAGTGCTATACCACCTAGAAGAGTGTTTGACAGAAAAACAATTTGAACAAGGCCTGAGGGCCACAGATTAAAATCACCCACCTTGGGCTTGGTAGCATAACTTTCTGTCCACTAGACCAACGTAGTTGTTATTTTTGGTAGGTGCCGTGGAGCTGTGACTCATAGCGACCCTATGTACAACAGCCCTAAACCCTGCTCTATCCTGTGCCAGTCTCACTGTCTCCAACACCTACCCACATTACCCCAGTTGCTGAAAGAAACCATCTCATAGAGGGTCTTCCTCTCATGCACTGTCCCTCCACCCTCTCAAGCATGATGTCCTTCTCTAAGGACCGGTCCCTCCTTCAACATGTCCAAAGTGTGTCAGATGAAGCTTTGGAATCCTTGCCTCCAAAGAGCAGCCTGGTTTAACCCTCTCTAGGATGAACCTGTTCATTGTCTTAGCAGTCCATGGTACATTCAATACTCTTCACCGACACCACAGCTCAAAGGCATCAATTCTCCTTCTATCCTCCCTAGCCATTGTCCAGCTCTCTGACGCATAGCAAGTGATTGGAAAGACCATGGCCTGTATCAGGTGCACCTTAGTCTCCATAGTGACATGATTGCTCTTCGGTACTTTGGAGAGGTCTCTAACAGCAGACACTTGAATGGAGTTAGCTACCAATCCAAAGGCACAGGGTTCAATCACTACCTGTGATTTACTGTCTCTCAAAACTGGATGGTACCTAATAACAACTACTATAACAACCTTGGAAGTCCTACTTTAACCGTCTGTAAAACAGTGTTACTGTGTTTATAAAGTGATACTTGGCATTAAGCGCCTAGTAAATGGTCAAAATTCGTTTTCAAAACAAATTATCTTGGACTATTCTTGTGTGATCTATCCCGATTGTAAATAATACAAGAAGGTTCCAAACTTCTCATGATGATCATTAATAGAACTGGCTGTGAAAGATTTTTCAAAATCGTTTCATCATTTACTTTTTACAAACCTTCAGAATAATCAGGATTTAAATGTGAGGGGTTTTGGTGGGTTTTTGTTTGTTTGTTTGTTTTTTAAATATTCTCTAAAGAGCTTGAGTACTGAATAGCCCATGGATTGCAAGGACATGGTTTGCCCAAGGACAAACAAATATGTCTTGGAAGGTACAGCCAGGGTGTTCCTTGGAGGCAAGGATAGTGAAACTTCTCACATACTTTGGATGTGTTGTTAGGAGAGGCCAGTCCTTGGAAAAGGACATCATGCTTGGAAAGGTGGAGGGTCAGTGCAGAAAGGACTCTCAACGAGATGAGTTGACACAACGGCTGTACCAGTAGGCTCAGTGTTTCAGTGATGGGGAGGACGGCACAGGGTAGTGCAGGGTTCAGATCCATTGTCCACAGAGTTGCTATGAGTAGTAGGCAACTCCATAGCACTTAGGAACAAAAACAACTATAGAGCTCTGGTAGCGTAGTCCGGAGTTTCACTACTAACCCAAAGTCATGTCTCTCTAGTGGTTAAACTACACCAGTGGATCCCAGGCAGAACTGGCAGTCTCCTCTTGTGTGATTTATTGCCTCCAAGGATTCACTATGAATCTGTTCTGACTCAACAGCATTAAGTTTGAAGTGTTTTTTTTTTAGTTATAGAATTTATGCATTTAAAAAGTACACTTAAACTCCATATAAGTGGATGCCACTTCACTATTTTTCCTTTTCATTGGAAAAATGAGCAGATTCATCAGTGACTTTTGCAGTTCCTTCAAAGACTGAATGACATTTCTTTCTAGCTCTGTACATAAGAAGAAATGAGGAAACTAGATCGGTGTGTCATTATGTAATGTCAATGATAGCCAAAGAAACCAACTTCTTCTAAAGAGTACCTCAGCACTTCCAGCCCTCACTTCTGTTCACTCTTCCACTTTCTGGGAATTACCTGAAGCTGCTCTGAGAGCACGAACACGTGGTCACTCTGAGGACACTTTCAGTCCCCATCTTACTGGATTTGTCTATAATGTTCTACCCTGTTTACGACTCTTGAAATTCCAAAGTCTTAAGAATTATTCTTGTTTTTCTTTTATATTTACAGCTACTCCTTGGTATCTTTAGAGCTGCTTTCAAGCCCTACACTTACAGGCAAGTTCAGTAGATCTAAGGTTACTAAGTGCACAGGGTGTGCTGGGTGTGTTGTTAACAGGATGATAATTATGGTGCCACAGTCTGGTATTCCACATCAAAGGGAGACAGAAACCAATTAGACAAACCCAGTGGTAACTGGTAACCAAAAGCTAGATGGATGTGGATACAGAGCAATCAGAGGATTTACTTACCCTTTGTGTGTGTAGTCATCAGGTCAAGGAAGAGAGGAAGGACTGCACAGGAAGTGATAATAACTGACTATCAAGGCTGATCTCATCAGACTGAAGCTGATGAGAGCTCATAAACTAAAGTGATCCTGGAAAAGCAGACTCTTACTTAAGACACTTTTTTGACAGGTGAACACGAGCAACTATTTTAATCTATGACGTAGGGACTAGTCTGTTCCTTCTGTTTGATACATACCAAGTACCAATAGACCTCAAAGAAAACAAACAAGTCTGTCTTGGAAAGGGTGAAGCCATGTTTCTCCTTGGAGGCTAGGATTTTGAAGCTCTGTCTCACATACACTGGTCATGTGGCCAGGAAGGACAAGTCTTTGGAGAAGGATATTAAGCTTGGAAGGGTGGAGGGACAGCATAGGAGAGGACCCTGGATGAGATGGATTGATAGAGTAACTGGGGCATTGAGATTAGATGAGTCAGTGAGACTGGCTCAGGACAGGGAAGGCTTCAGAGCTGTGGTACATGGGGTCACTATGAGTTGCACACGTGACTCGATAGCACATAACAACAAAAAAAAAGTGGGTAAAGAGTCGTCGTGTAAGCCAGCAGTTAGAATCCACTGGCGGCTCCAAGGATGAAAGATGAGCCATCTTCTGTGCTATTTACAGGCTCTAAGAAACCACTGTGGCATCAGCAATGAGTTAGCTCCTACGCTATGGCACTTGCAACAGTCTTCAGTGTTTAGGTAAGATAATCATCATGAAATACACCTGGCTAGCACTTGAAAAACATTTTAAGGCTCTTTCCCATCAGTGAAATTGGTGAACCAGGAGTAGACTCTCTTGCCTGGCAGACTGATAAAAACTTACATTGACATTTTTGGGCATTGGTAGTATGTTTTATTCGTTGGCAGATGAGAAATGTAGATATTGCTGTTGTTATTTGCCATCAAGTCGTGTACGACTCATAGTGACCCTGTGAATAACACATCTGAATCCTATCCTATTTAGTGACATCATCTTTGACACACTTGAGCCCGTTGCTTTACTGTGTCAATCCATCTCCAATAGTCTTCCCTCCTTCGCTGACCCTCCACCTTTCCAAGCATGATGTCTCTCTCCAAGGAATAGCCTCTAAGAGCAACATGCCCAAAATATGAGAGATGAAGTTTCTGCATCCTTGCTTCCAAGGAGCATTCTGGCTGCACTCTGCCTCAACACATCTGTTTGTTCTTTTGGCAGACCATGGGTTATTCCATACTCTTCTCCAACACCACAATTCAAAGACATCAATTCTTTTTCTGTCCATCCTTATTCACTGT